GGTTTGAAGAATTCCAGTATGAGGAATTTGGGTTTGAAGGTGCACTTTTGTTTTTGTTATTATATTCGCTCTTTCTACATTCACTGATCAGATGTCCTACCTTTTTACAGAAGTTGCAAATTTTTTGTTGATGGTTGTTGCGATTTTGAAAGTTATTGGTTGAGGAATTTTGAGGAATATTTGAGCGAGGTTATTGTTTTTCTTTGTGAAAATCTCTTATGAATTCGAAAATGGAAGTAGATAGAGATATTATCGTTGGAATGACTCTGTCATATATTTATTTGAATCTTGCCACTCTGGTTGGCTTGATTAAAAAAAAAAGAGTGTCAAGAGATTCGGAGTTCGCCCCATCAACAGAAAAAGAAAAACACAAGGTTTCTTCGCGACTTTAGTGGAGTCAATGAAAACTGGAGAATTAGATGAAGGTCAATTCTTCAAATACACAAGAATGACGAAAAATCAATTCACCTATTCACTCCATTCAACTGGCCCCAGCTCACAGAAAAATGAGAAGAAATTCCACATACCCCCTGAACATCGACTAATGATAACAATTCAGTAAGTTTACATTCTTCATTGAGAAAGAGACCAAGTTAACATAAATGTATTTCAGTTATCTGGCTGAAGGATGTTCCATGCAGGAGATTGCCTAGGGACATCGAATTGGACATGCCACAGCCCATCAGATAATAAAAGAAACCTGTATTGTTCTATGGGACATTTTAAATCAGTCCCAGCTACCAGTACCATTCATGGAGAACTGGGAGTCAATAGCTGCAGGATTTTTCAATAGGTGGAATTTACCTAATTGTATAGGAGCACTTGATGGAAAACATGTGGTAATGAGAGCTCCACATGAGTCAGGCAGCATGATTATTTGTTATTATTTTGAATATAAAATTATATATGCGGAAAAATGGATGATGAAGATTTGATTATGTTTTTACTATTGACCACTGGAGCTCATCTTTTGTTAAAACACACCAGACACCGTCGGTTTAAAACACGGCCTCAAAATCGAAATAGAAAAAGGCTCAATGTTTATGATAATCTTTTATTATTTATAAAAAACAATGACAGAGGCCAGTTTTTCAAATATACTCGGATGTCTCCAGAAATGTTTGATTAGTTGTTGGATTTGATTAAACAATTTATTCAAAAAGATCCTACGAAATGTCCAATAGAGCCAGGTCAGAGACTTGCAATAACATTACAGTAAGTAGAAAGAAATCAGAACCATGTTTTTTGTTATTGTTGTGTATTTCAGTTACTTGTCGGAAGGATGCTCCATGCAAGAACTTGCTTGGAACAATTATATTGGGAAATCGACAGTACACTGTATAATAAAGGAAACCTGTGAAGTATTATGGAATGTTTTGTATTCAATGGTGCTGCCTGAACCCACAGTTGATGACCTGGCAAACATTTCAGAAGGGTTTATGAAACGGTGGCACATGCCAAATTGCATTGGTGCTATTGATGGACAACATGTGGTAATACAAGCACCACAGTACTCTGGAACCATGTTCTTTTCATATAAAAAAAGCTTCAGGTAGATGATTTACAATCAAGTGTATTTCATCTATACATTTTTTTTTCAGCATAATACTGATGGCAGTGTGTGATGCTTATTATAAATTTATTTATGTGGATATTGGATGTGAAGGATCCAATCATGATTCTAATGCTTTCTCAAATAGTGGATATGGAAAATCCCTTCTTCAAAATTTGTTACCAATACCACATCCAAAATGTTTTCCAGGAACTAACATCATGATTCCACACTTCTTTGTGGTAGATCAGGCTTTCCCTTTGCACAAGAATATTATGAGACCGTATCCTGGAACATACATCAGTGAAACAAAAAATGTTTTTGATATACGCTTATCCAGGGCCAGAAGGATCATTGAGAACGCCTTTGGAATCTTAGCACAAAGGTGGAGACGCTTGAGAAATCCTATTTTTGCCAATGTGGAACTTTGCGATAAGATAGTGCTTGCATGTGTTGTGCTGCACAATTTCATTCCAAAGGGAGAAGAAGATTTACCTGTATCTGAACGAAGATATTGTCCAACTGGATTGGCTGACTTTGTAAATGAATTTGGAGAGATAGTTCAAGGCACTTGGAGGATCACAATTGAACCTTTAAGATCTGTTGGCAGGCTAGGTGCCAATAACACCACAGAAGCTGTCAAAAGAAATCGTGATAATTTGGCAGAATATCTCGTTTCACCATTTGGTGCAATAAGGCATCAATTGGAGCAGGTTTATTTTGGTGGACTTCCAGTGAATCATAACCAATAATAAATTATGAATTGATTTAGCCAATACTTACAATCTATGTTGATATTTATAATAAAACCAACCAAAAAGAGGTTTGCAAAACCAAGACAATTATTTGTCTGTACAGCTTCTTCAAGTATAATGAGTATATATTCAGTATACTAAATATATCTTCTCCACTTGGAGAAGCTATTGTACTGTGAAACAATTGTCATGGATTAATAAACCTCTTTTTGTGAGAATCAATTTTACTTTAGTTTTATTATAGAAACCAATAATTACTCTGAATAAACATTAACTTCAGCTTAAGTCATTTTATTTTTCAATTTACATTCCCTTCTAGGTCAGTACATGGAAACATATTCCATTTGAAATGAACAAAAACAGATTCTAAAATAGATAGGACCATCACAATCTACTTCAATAATATCTCAAAAATAACAGTTCATACAAAAATTTAAAGAAATTAGGAGTACCTACTCAAGAGCAGTAACAGTATATAAACTTTCTTAAAATTATCAGCCTCATTTCGAGTAAAAATACACATACAAAATACATTTTCTGTTCTTTATCAAAAACTGACATATCTGCAACCAAGCTTTTAACAAAATGTTCATCACTGTTAGTGTTTTCAGGATTGTCAACACTTTTACCAATTTTTTTCTTTCGTGTAGTGGTAAGGGTCTCGAAGCAGCCACTGAGTTTTTCGGTTAGTAACTTTTTCATATTTTTTTTATTGGAATGGCCATAGTTGCCCTTGGAATAATTCTTTTGATGGCAGCAGGACCTTTTGCCCTAAATGCAGAATTCGATGTAGAAGGTTGCGTGTAAGAAGATTTGCTGATTGAAACTTCAGCCCCAGTGGAACTTTCTTCATCACTGGAGTTTCCTTTATCACTTCCTGTGTTGCTTCTCTCTGTGATAGAAGAGAAAGAATCCCACTCTGTGCTCTGGGGTTGTTCGAAACGTACATGATTTGAGGTTGACCTGCAAATAGGAATTCATGAGAATTTTTCAATTATGCTTATTATACAGGGTGTAACTAAATAAGTGTAAAACATTCGAGGGGGTGATTCCTCATCGAAAAAAAGATAGGATCTTTCATATAAAGAAACTTCATTGGAGCATCTCATATCAAGATACAGCCCCTTGAAGGGGGTACATAAAATTTGTTTAACAATTTTTTTCACAAGCACTAAAGAAGTTACAGTATTGAAATTATTCTGACATTTTTTACTACCCAAAAGACACTTAGCCAGTAATTTATTTGGTTTATCCCATGGTTGTAAGGGGTGGAAAACGCAACCCCTAGATTTTATTTCCAATGTAACTTTTTGTCTCATCATTTGTTTACCATTTAAAAATTTATTTTCGATAGCCTGTTTCATTCTAAACAAAAAATGCCACTTGAATTTTTTGCCCAAAATGAACCAGTTCGCAGCAAAAAATCGCCATAAAACGAAAATACGAAATCAATTTAGTAGGCCGCTATTAGCGATAGTGACAATTAAATTGGCATCAAGCTGTCAGTTGGTGAATTTTTAAACTTGAAGTAATACTAATTGTGTATTGTTGTTCTGTTCTCAAATTGTGAGAAAAATTGTTGAACAAATTTTATGTACCACCCAAGTAGCTGTATCTTAACATGGGATGCTCCAATGAAGTTTCTTCATATGAAAGATCGTATCTTTTTTTCGATAAGGAATCGCCCCCTTAAATGTTTTACACTTATTTAGTTACACCCTGTATATTCACCGTCTCGTGTGTGAATGAGGATCTAAAAATCCCATTGCCTTGAAATGGGGCCACTGAATCACTGTAGGAGCTGATCCAGAAGGAGTACTTTTTATGTCTCTCTTTAACCCAGTATATTTGTTTCAAAGAGTGATGAATCTCTGTTCACAAGCCTCCGCTGAAAAAATATTAACAATATAATATTACGGCTTTCCACGTAAACTTTGATAATACTCAAGAGTTGCTTCCAATATGATTGCAATGGTTTCCCATGCGTACATTTTCGCACGTTTGTCTTTGAACGTCTTGTCATTTTTTGCATACAATTGAGGAAAACCTGACACTTGTTCAATTAGAATGGCGTCATCAATCATTTTTGTTCAAGATGTTTTTTGATACAAAAAATATAAATGGTATCGGTTCGGATAGATATTTTAGGTAATAGAATAGATTAATTAATAATTCTTCTTCCTTTTCTTTTTTGTATCAACCACAGAAAGTGAACTTTCATGTAACCCCAAATTTATAACCAAACTCTGATTGGTACCTCTGTATTTCTTATTTTACTTTCGTCGTCCCTATAAACACCCTGGAAATTATTACTTTTTCTTTTACTTTATTTTATTTATTATTTTATTTTACGTACTGTATAATTCCACCATTACAAAATATATCAAAGAATTATCACAAAATAAGAAAATGAGAATGACATTACTCTCAACCTAATAAATAAATCAGTCTGAAAAAGTGAAAACCAACGAAAAATAAATATTATTCTAATGACATTTGAAGTTTTGAATCTTTTTGGCAATAAACTAATAAATATGTCTTCAGACATGAAATATATATATTAAAATTGATCATCTATGGCTTGAGAAATTAAAACTAAAATTTGGACTTTTAGCTCTAATTTTCTCCTGTCATTTTTTATTTTACTCAAAGAATCAGCCACTGATAGGCTGAAGTATAGTGGTCATCCCTACCTAAATTCCCATCAGAACTTGGATTATTCAAAAACTTATTTAGTGTTTTTCCTACATTCGTGCAGGTTTGGACTAACTCATCCAGAGGAATATCAGGCTTCCTCTTCTTAACTTCATTTTTTTCTTTTCTCAGGTTCTGTATGTCATTTGTGACATTCTGCAGAGTTGGCCTTCGTTTAGTTACTTCAGGGATTCTTGGTTTATCTTCCTCCTCTATTGTCTCATCCTCGAGAAGGTTTTCACTTTCCTCCAGACCCAGATGGGACATTTTTTTGGATTCGCCTTTCCCTCAAATACTTCAGCCTAAGAGATTTCCACATCTCTTGACATTCTTCCACTGAAAGTAATGACATTTTAATGAATATTAGGAACAGTAGATAGGTACAAAAACAGCTAAAATTCTATACACCAGAGATAAAATGTAGTCTTCTTACCAGTCAATGCCATGACTTGTGAAATTGATTTCCAGGAATTCTCTATAGCAATTTTTTCTTTGTATTTGGAGTCTTTCTTGTCCCAAAGATGGGGAAATTTCTCCACCAAATCTATTAGGGTTCCTTCTTTCAAGCTCATGATTTTTGATATTTGTTCTTTATTGTAATAAAATTATGATGATGTAATCAATTATTATTGGTACAGCACAGAATGGCACTGATTTTTTGGTTATAAACACAATCATATGTGATTGTCAAATATGTTGACAGGTCGACACATGCTCATTTCTTATGTGGTCTCAATCATAACCATAAAAATTGAAAGTTTGTAACTTTCAAGGTCATGATTTAATGATTATGATTAAGACGAAGACTAAAAATCTTGCATAAATTCACCTATAGGATTATCCAAGACGCTGTCAAAATGAATTCAAGATGGCTGCTGGAGTACATACATAGTTGGAGTTCATTGTTATTGTCATCTTTTGTTAACTAATATTTAGCTGATTCGCATTATTGTGAAGCTCTTCGTGAAGCAAAATGTAGGTGTGATTTTTGTTGAGATCACAGAATTCGGTGGTATGATCATTTAGACGGTTGAAAAGTCTAAAAGAGTTGTTTTTCAGGATGTCTTTTTGTTGTGTTGTTGGATGTGGAAGTCGGAAACAACGTGACAATCTGAGTTTCTTCAGAATTCCAGGTGAATTAAATTTCAAACATAAACCAACAAGTGATGAACTATCTATAAAACGACGTCAAAAATGGATTCAAATGATTAATATACAGGATTTGACTGAAACGAAAATCAAATATGCTCGAGTTTGTAGCAAACATTTTCTGGCTGGTGAGTAGATATGTTGAAACAGAATTCTCTTGTAACATTAGCTATTCTTTCAGGGAAACCTTCAGATTTGTTATGTGTTGATAACCCTGACTGGGCTCCCAATTTATCATTGGGCTATGGAGATGATTCCCCTGCAAAATCTCAAAAATCTGCTGAACGATAATCAAGATTAGAACGTCGAGCAGATTCGAAAAATAAGATACTGAAAATGGTGATTACATATATTATATCATGTTGTTTCATTCAATATGTGACACTGTTTTTCTTGGATACCAACGAAATTGCTACAGAAATACCCATGATAAACGAAAGTGATACCCACAATAATGAAACCAAAAATGATAAATATTGTCAGACAGACATTGACGCAGACAATTTTTCCCAAATGATTTTGTCTCTGGAATCAACAAAATCTTTGCAGAGAAAGTTTGATTCTTTGAGTTTATTATTTAACTCCTTCAGAGGTGATGATCACAAAACAAAGTATCACACAGGTCTAGAATCATTTGGAAAATTTTAAATATTAGTTCAGAACATCAAAGACTACATTCCAATTCATTTTAACACCACTTTACCTTCAAAAATGTTGTAAATGTTTTATCCTCCTCAGACCCACTGGTGACTTGGTCGTTCAAAATCTTCAAAACAATGCTTATTATATTCAAGATGGCACAAAAGATATATATATGTAATGAAAAAATCGAATTTTTGTTTGGATTCTTCAAAAAAATACGTATCATATATGATATGTTGGGGCTATAGCAATACAACAATCAGTGCATAAAACATTTTCATTTGTAGAAAGCGAAGCAATTCCGTCCAACAGAGCAACATAAGAATATTTTACATGCGGTACATTTTACAAAGGTTAAATTCTTGAACCCTGGATATCTACAGAAGGAACGACATTCCTGTGATTTATTCAGGAATTATGGTAAATGAGAAGCATTCTGCTTCACAAAAGCTTTATCAGGCATTGGATGAACACTTCGCTGTTTCTTCTTCTTGGGCTCCTCTGTTTCCTCATCTGACGCCTCGTCCTCTTCGACGCTGCTCTTAGAGTCATCGGTTTTCGAAAAGTAGGTAAATGAGATATTGTCAGAGTTGTGTTCTTTTTGTCAATAGAGAATGAACCTTGCCAATTTATGAATAGTCGGAAATTGAGCAAAAAAAAAGTAAAATCATTTCCAAAACAACAAATATACTCATTTATTCAGAATCAGAATATGAATAACATTTTGAAATATACCTTATGCTTGTACATGCTATCTTCTGAGACCTGGAGGAAGGGCATCATTGTCACAGCTTTCCGACGACCGACGAAAACGTATTCATCATTCTCAAGGCAAATTCGCGACGCGTCCTTGTCAGAGTCCTAAGCGCCTGATTTTCAGGCTAGAGACCGAGAAGCCATTTTATCGGAGATGATTCAACATCAAGAAAAGACTTTCCGTGGTCGTGTTGAAAAAACAGAGCTACAACTAGAACTGGCAGTCCAACTCGCAGTCGAACCGGTAGTCGAACTGTCGAACCCGCATCCTTACGTCTTTCAAATAGTTGTCTTTATTTCCGGAAACGTGACAGTAAGGAAATCAGGTCGATAGTCCAGGTTCGTTGAAGTTTATGTTCAACTATGGAAAAAAGTTCGTTCACGATTCGAAAATTTTGGAATTAATAAACAAAGACGCGATTGTTCAATGACTTCGAACCTTGTATTAATTTGAATGAATGAATGAAAAATAACCCTATTCGTGACAATATTTCGCGATGGCGAGTTTGAAAGCCAGATAATCTATGATCTCCTTTTTTGGAACTTTTTCTATGGTTGCATCTTGTCGATACTCGAGCCATCCTGCGGCTGTGGCAAAGTCAAAAAAATGGCAGATGCATCGAATTGTCCACTTGTTTGTTCTGGTTTTCATGGAGTATTTTCCCAGAACTCTGTCCAAGAGGTCGACACCACCCATTTTCTGATTGTACTCTTTGATAGTCCACGGTTGTTTGATCTCAATATATTTCGAAGCGACTTTCGACCACCTTCTGCACAATCGAACCGGATCCACCCCTGAGTTTGATGACGCAAGGTGGACAGGCTTGGAATCAAACCACTTTATTAGGTTTATTTTTCCGTCTTCTCGGACAAGCTGATCATATAAACCTCTGCCTGATTTTTTCAGGACAATGTATTTAAAAAATTCTACTTTTTATGGAAGTCTATTAGCCATAATGGTTCCAGTCAATGTGATTGACCGTGACAATAGGGTATCAATGAGTGGAATAGATGTGAAGTATCTATCAGTGAATGCTGTTGCTCCTAGGGGCAGAGTGTCGGTGAGTTTCAAAATCATCCGGCCACCAAATTCTAATCCTTTACCTTCATACAAATAAAAATCTAATGGTACTCCTCTAGGTGTGGTCATCACGAAATTCTTCAAACCAACTGGGTTTGGCTTTCCACGTTCATACTGCCTCATAGCAACATGCCCATGGAAAGGTATCATCTGTTCATCAATTGAAACTTGACTTGTTCTATCATTCAGACGGCATCCTTTCTGAACAGAATCAAGTAAAGGTCGTACTTTCCAGAAACGATCTACACTTTTCTGTTCATTGTTAACTGCATCATCGTCCACTATTTTCAAACGTGTACGTAACTGGAAAAAACGATTCCTGGAAATGTTGTCAGCAATTATCGGTACTTTAGTTTTACGTGACCAGAACATTTTTATGCGTGGTAAACCATAGAGGGTAATTAACATACTGCACCCAATGAATGTACGGAGCTCAATGGCAGTGAGCTTCAAGGATTTTCTAGTATCTTTAACTTCCTTCATATACGTAAAGAGTGCCATGGAGTCGAACAACTCATCTTCGATATACTTGTGAAAATATTCAATAGGCTCTTTCACCCTGCTCGGATCGCAACAACCCATTTCCGGAGCTGATGATGGAGGTGGAGGTTCAAACTGACGATCACGCTTCCAATTCTTAGCAGAATTAGGTCGGAGGTTTGAAAGTGGTTCGTCATCAGATGAATTGAAATCGTCGACCGGGTTGGGAATGACTAATTCATCAAAGTCTTGTTCTTCTGGTTGAGGAGTTTGACTTCGAGCTTGAACTTCATCTTCTTCGTCTTCCTCTGACAATAATGAATCGTCATCAAGGTCAGACTGGTCCAGATCCAAATTGTCGACCAATTGTTGCAACTGTTCACCGGTGAGTGCTCCTGTAAAATCGAAATAAATTCAACGATAAAATTCAATTAATATGAGTACTCCGAACATTCAGTCCCAAGCTATCATATGTGATATGTTATCTGATTTCCGATTTGGGCATCGGGTAGTGGATTTTTACAATGTATTTTGCATTGTACCTCATTCAAACACCTAAAGAAATATACTAAAGGAGTAGAATCGTTTTTTATGATCGAGAGACATTTCACACCGTATAACACATATGGGCCAATTTATGCATCATCGTCTTTGTCCTAGTCTTGAGTCTTTGTCTTAACTTTGTCCCAATCATAGTCTCAATCATAATTTAGATATTTGGACGTTTATACATCACAGTCTTTAGGCACCTTTAGGCTTGAGAATTATGATATGACAATTGACAATCCGTCAATAGTGTCAACTGAGGTGTCAAGAATGTCAACTGTGAATTCTAATATTTTGTTTTGGCGCGCTTTTAGAATATATTATTTTTCTTCGAAATAATTTTGGAATTCAAAAATGGAAGTGGATAGAGAAATAATTACTGGAATCACTCTGTCCTATATTCATTTGAATCTTGCCACTCTGGTTTGCCTGATGAATAAAAGAAAGAGAGTCAGGCGATGTGGAGTTCGTCCCATAAACAAAAAAAGGAAAACACAAGGTTTCTTCATGACTTTGGTAGGGACAATGAAAACTGGAGAATTGGATGGAGAACAATTCTTCAAATACACGAGAATGACGAAGAATCAATTCTCCTATTTACTTCATTTAGCTG